CTGTCTTGACCCATCAGGTGGAGTACCATCCTTTTCAGCAGCCCACTCACATGATAGAGTACTGTCATGAGAAGGGGATTGTGTTCGAAGGGTACTGCCCACTAGCCAGGGGTCAAGTCCTCAGCAACCCCACTGTTCACCAGATAGCAGAAAAGTACGGACGCACACCTGCTCAGATCTGCATCCGCTGGAGTATTCAGGTTGTCACATTGTTCAGATACAGTCTTCCCCACCCTAAGCTGAATTGGCCTGAGGCATATGCTTGTGTGAATACTGTTTAACTGCAGTTTTATTCTTATTTTCCTCAGAATGGAGTTGTCACAATACCAAAATCTGTCAAAAAGAACAGGATAAAAGAAAACTGTCAGGTGAGTCAAACATCTGGTGCAGTCTTTTCAATGTTCAGAAAGTCCTTAATTTTAAACACTTAAAATTTAAAAGTGTTAAGATAAACTACGTTATGATTGAGCAAACAGGCAGGCATGACATCATAAAATACATTTAAATGTGAAAGGTTAATATTCTGTGATTAATGTAATGGCAATAGGGAAAAAAATACTGCACTTACTCAGGGTACACATAATCTTTTTTAACTAATCAGGGTACAGTATCATACTTGGAATTAAACCTAAGACAGACTACAAATGGAAAATTGTACTTAACTTGAGATTTTGGCTGGGTTCAAACTCGTATTGACCACTGCGGAGGACCTTACAGATACCAGAAGTGAAGCCACCACGAGTCGATCGGCCCCTGGTGTCTGGTTGCAGTATAGGTCATAAACCCTGTCTCTATGAGAGTGGATGGGACATGAGCCAAACTAAAAACAAATCAAATAAATTGTTCCCAGAGGTGATATGTCATATTTGGTAGATATTATCATGCTGATTTGTGTACAAGTGATCATTGTAGGTTGTTGTTTGATGATATAGAAAGGGGGTATTTTTGGGCAGTTTGACAGCTTTGATTGGGGGCTTGATACATTACTCTGCTACTTGGCTGCTAGTGCACAGAATCTGGTTACAAAATGCCAAGACAGCAGCCATTGTATTCATATTTTAGCTTGACTTTTGCATAGTGGAGGGAAGTGGTGATATTTATATGCAGTCAGTGGTGTTGAATGAACATGCAACTGTTTAAACTGCACCTTTAGTTAAAAGGTAGGTTCAGGATTTTTCAGATCTGTCTGAGTAATTTTGATGTGCCCATGTGTATGTAAGAATATGTACCACACTGACCCTTAAACTTATCACCTGAAAGTGACTATGCTATAAGAAGTGGGGGGCAAGTTCACAGGTTAATGTTTTAGTCATTGATCACCTAGATTCTAGAAGATTAACAGAAGTTTTTATTATGGGGCAAAACATTTTGACTTATGATGAAATATTTGTATTATAGAATACATTGATTTAAGTATATTTTTGGTGAAAATCAGTGACAATAGCCAGGAGACTAGGCAGTGAGACAATCAGAAGCCAGAGGCTTAAATATGTCAATTATAGCCACTAATTTTCTCATTTCATCTATTTCTTCTTCTTCCTCCTCTAAAAAGCTCTTTCCCATACATACAGGTGTTTGGATTCCAGCTGGAAGAGGCGGACATGGCCGCTTTAGGAAGACTACATGATGGAAGACACGTTGGTTGGGACCCAAGAGACGTGGAATAACAAGATGTAGGGAAGCACAAGATGTGTCGGACCTGGTATTAGTTTTGTGTGTACCATTTGGCTGAAGAGCTAATCTTTTAATTAACTGGCTGTTATCTTTAAATTTGCCTATAAGGAGACTCTGCAGGTTTATTGATCCTAGTTTTGTGCATGATATACTTGGTATCTAAGCAGTACCAAAAATAGCACACAGCAATGTTAACTTTGACACCTGCATTTAATTTTGACAAAAATGCAATTAGTCAATTTAGTCTTTTGATTTTTATTAGTTTGTCAAAAACTAAATGCATTTTATTCCAGTTTTCATCATTTTTCATAAATACTGTATATCCTAATCTTTGTTGAGTACAAAGTGCTGCTCTGCTCTGCAGAAATTGGACTCATTTCATAAACTCCTCTTCAAAGGGTTCAGCTTGAGAGGTGACGTTAAATCATCAGATAACAGTTTTTTTATTTTAAACTTACATCAGGTCCCACCCAGTAGTAGAAACATTACTCCCTTTCAAGTAGCTCCAAGGTCGGTAAATCCAACCGGTGGTCGCTGCGTCTTCCCCCACACGACCACATACAGTCCCAAAGAAGTGAAATTAATTACAACTGGTAGTGTAGCCCTGCCAATAACATCATGGATTATTAATTTGCTGGTTAACCAGCAACATATCGCATGTGGCAGAAAACCACTTGCAATTGAAAAACACCGATGGCTGTCAGGCAAGCTCCCATGAATGTGCAACTGCCTAGAGATTATGACCATTCAGGGAAATCCTTGAACTATCACATCCTTTTTTTTTGTTAGAAAAAAGTCACAAGAGTTTGTGAAACATGTATAAACCGAGTCAATTCCACACAGAAATCTTAGAACATACAGTAGGTACACCTAATTCTTTTGAGCTTTACATCTAAGATGATAATTCACCGTTGAAACACTAAATAAAAAACAAGGAAACGCATGCCATGTGCTCTTTAATGTTACATCTGATTGTAGATGAATTTGGTTCATAGAACTGTTTTATCCTCATGAAGCGCTAACACCATAGGACAGAGACAGACCGTTTCTGAATGTAAGATGGTAGCTCATCAAAATTAGTTAGACAAGCGGCTGATTCAGCTCCTGAACAGGAGGTATGTTTGGTCAGCAGAGGAAACTTTCACTGATCAGGAGCTACAGTTTGTGATTTCACAGACAGCATTTACTTCATGTCCATTCGTCAGTCTCTTACATTATGATTTACTTTTATTTGTTGATGAAAAATATAAAACATTTCATCCCGAAAAACAGGTTGTCAATAAATTTTTCTTTTTCTTTGACAAGATTAAGACTGGCATATTGGTAAAACTGTATGCTGTGTGCTGAAAAAAAAAGAAGCAGTGTTTCTCTGATTTTTTTACTGGCTTTAAAGTTAAGCCTTCAACTGTGAAAAGCTGAAAGAAAAGGCATGGTCAGCTACTGCAAAGTAGTTCCCTAACTTGCTCTTAAGCAAATAAAACAATGCCAAACATTCAGAGTTAGCAATATCATTTAATCTTTCCCACTCAGCTTGGAATCACTGTTGCACATAAGTTACATCTTTTCTCAATTTAACAGGTTTTTTTTCTTCAAACTTCCAGTTTGACCTACCTCTCGTATCAAACAAACAAACAAAAAAAAAAGCAGATTGTATTATACAAAAATGCAAACCAATTTTCACACAGTGAATTCTCTTACAAAGTCATAAAATGGCGTAATAATGGTTACATCCACATTGGAGGAAGATAATTCTAGACATTCCTTAATGGAGTATAATATACATATAAAAACTTTTTTTTCTTGCTGAAATCAAACCTGTACCTTAATTTAAGAGATATTTTACATGGGTGCAATTATATAAAAAAAGCCATTTGCGAATTTCCCCAGAAAGTCTGGGAATAAAATGTGAGCCTCAAACAGCAGTAACAGAGTTCAGTGGTCAAGGGTGAGAGTGGAGGGGTTAACTGGTTATGGAAATGAGGGATAGAGGCAGCAGTTCCACTCAGAAACAAAAACACACAGGAGACCGAAATGAATATCTTTGCTATTTACTATAAATCACCCCATGCATCACTGTATGTCAGTTGTGCTAAGCTAAAGGTGTTTTAGACTCCTTCAGACCTGCAAGGACCTACCAGGTAGAATCAGCATTGTGAGTGTTGGCCGAATTGCAATGGAGAGAGAATGAGAAACACCACCAATAAAAATGTTACTAATTCATGGCTAAACCCAATTCCCTCTTTTTGGTTTGAAGAGTTGTCAAAGTGGGAAAAAAAATACTGTGAATGTCACTCCGATACTGTTATAGCTGCTGAATACACATCAGGCCAGATGGTGCACTTAAGGCTAAGATTCACAGGTCAGTAAACTCACTCAACTACTGCAGAAATGAAAAGAAAAAACTCAGCTACGTTGATAGTTTTGCATGAAAAAAAAGGAAGGAAAATGCATTTAGCTTCAAATCTTGAGATTTGCATTACTGCAGGTTTGACTGACATTTTCTAGGGGGGGGGTATGTGTGACCGCTCTCAAAATCATACCAATTCAGTGTTAATCAGTATTTTTCAGACCATCTCATGCTCCTGTACCAAACAGGCATTGTTAGAGGATTCTAAGGCTAACCTTTCAGAGACTCCCTGAATATCCTCTTGGGGGTGAGGAAAAAAAACCCAAACACTTTTCTAATACCTCAACACTATCACCCAGTACAACACACTTTGAGGGGGAAAAAAAAAAAAAAAAAACTTAGAATACACTTTCTACAATACAATCTAGCACGCACAAAATGTCTCTATAAATTTTCCAAAGTTACAGACTTTTGTCTTCTTCGGAAGCATAGTCTATAAAGAACATCTTTGTTTGAACACAAAAGATAAAGTGAACACACATCAATGCGCACAGAAGTCCTTCGTCTGGGAAAGGATTAAGTCTGTGTTGGCAACCAGTGGACAGAAAACAAATCAAAACCCCAAAGAAAAATGCTGATTCTAAATAGAGATCATTTAATATAAATGCTGAGCAAGTAGATTAAGAGGTGGCACATTAATAGTGCTTTAGTATATTAATGTGTGTATACATACTCATGTATAAGTGAGCTGTGTACCTAAACAAATGTTACAAGGAGCAGCCAGAGGCTTGAAGTGTGGCTGGGAAAATAATTTAAAAAATGTTTTTTAAAAGCCCAAAATATCCATTATCATGGCACTGACAAATTGGATGCCCATGAAACAACCCAGAGGAGGATGTCACACACACAAAATGTGTTTAACTGATGCATCAGCTAGCAGGGATTTGTCAAACTCTGCCAGTGTCTCAGTACGCCTCATCTGGCCAAAACGGAGGCTTGACGTTAAACTGAAACGCCCTGATCCAGAGCTTTTCCCTCTATCCTTCAACCGTTCAAGTGCAAGGACTCACTCACTCTTGGCAGAGCTGTAAAACTGTAGCCAGTCATGCATATTGTTTACAGAAGGCAAGGAGCTCTGTATTGAGCATCAGTAAACAATTTGCATAATGGGAAAAGAGCAATAATAATAGTAATGGTGGTGATGATGACAGTAGGTTATAAATTTAAAAAAAAAATCTAAGTTTGAATAGAATACTCACCAATATGGCTGCTTAAATATACTTGAAACAATAGAACATATTAAACATACCAAATCTGACAAACATTTCAAATGTACTATGCAGCTAAAAATACTACAAGAGTTACCTTTCTACAAGTACAAACGCAAGTCTTGCTCCATTCAACCATGTCGTGAGAAAAAGAGGAACATGTGTCCACTTAAGCTCTAGGTGCCTTCAGTAGATATGCCTCACTCCCCAGAATCATAATGTAAAGCATGAACAATTAAACAAAAAGACAAGGGAAGGCAACTTCATAGAAGTTAGGAGAACAAATGACAAGATAATCCCAATGGGGAGGCCTTTTGTGTCACCAGATGAGAAGCTCTGAGAAGGGAAAACGTATTCTGATATTATAAAGTCGAGTTGACACTCATTCACCTGACTCCAGGAGCAGATTGAAGTGCTCTCTCAAGGGCATTCATCCCCCGCAACCCCCCCCCCAAAAATAACTGAGTGTTCTGTGAAAAACCTCACAACATAATTGGCTAGGTCTGAATGCAACCCTTCGGAGCACAGACAAAAAGCACTGAAACCAAACCACATCAGGTCACACTGCAACTGAGAGAAGCATATTGTAGATTCCCTTATAGAAAACACATGGAAAGCTCATTATCCAAAAAAAAAAAAAGTTTGCAATCTTTAAAAAAAAATGCTTTGATTAAATAT